TGTGCACCGCTACTGATCCCCCTGAGCTGGAAGCTGTCCTCTAACTCTGAGAATGGCTCTGGGCAGCTCCCTTGCTATCATGGGATGCGAATAACATAAAAAACCCATTCAACTGCGCTTGGTTTTAGCTGAAAAGTGAGTCAAAATTAAGAGAAGTCTGGAAAATAACTCCCACAGTATCTGAACAATCTCAAGATGTTTCAAATGAGAGTGCCTCCTTCAAGCTTAGGTTGTGTGTGCAGTTTTCCATTCGTAAGGCCAGAGAATTTCATCACATAGTTCCAAAAGCCTGTAACTTTTTTCTCAGCTGCTGCATATATTTGAGAAAGAAATATATTGTATGTATATATATCTATATATAGACACACACACACGCACAAATATTTTAGTTTAAAGATTTAATGGAAGGGTGAGTCTGTCATATCCTCATGTAACTCCCCCCCACCCAGTGATTAATTACACTCACAGTAAAATAAATTGTGCCTCATTATAAACCTAGACCAGCGATTCTCAACTCCCCTTGATATACTCAAGGCACCCCTTGATAGACTTGAGGCACTCCTCAGCAAATGTCAGCTCTTAGTTTTCACTCTTTTTTTTTTTTTTTTTACTAGACTACAGGAAAATAATAGGATCAATCTTCTGTTGCAAACAACTTGGACGGACCATGACACATCAACATTTTTTTAATGCTATGGATTCCTATGTGAAATCTCTAGTTTTATTTTGATACTCGAGCCACGGCACCCGGGTTGAGAATCAGTGACCTTGGCAATAAGCTTTTTGAGGCAGGGGCCTTATCTTCATACCTGCAAGCACTGTGGCCCCCAGTGATGTTGTGAATCAGTATGTTAGACTTTAAGGTCTTAGTGTCCTTGCAATACTGCCATATTAAAAATTCCACTATAAATAGTTAAAACCCAGCTGGCTCCTAACTGTTTAAGTATTTTTATTGCACTACTTTTGTGATAATTGCAATCTTCGGTTTACCTTGGTGTATAGCATACTGATTTCAACTCAGAATTTTCTAACTGTAAATTCATAGATTTATAGATGTTAGGGTCAGAAGGGACCTCAATAGATCATCGAGTCCGACCCCCAATCATCGAGTCCGACCCCCAAATTCTACTGTTGAGATTCTCTGTGACCTATTCTACCTGCAAAATCTATTATTACATTTGACTTTCAACATTTCCAGGTTTTTTTATTGTTTAATGGGTCTGCATTTAATATTAACTCTGACATAATATAATTTGCCTACTATAATCCCTATTTATCCACCAGCAATCTTAACCAAGCCTGACTGTCTGATAACACCAATTTCCTATGGAGGAAACTAGTCTGGAGTCTCACGAAGTGGGGAGGACAGTGGTTTTAGGGGTAACCTGAATGTAAATACTATGAATACCAGGACAGACAAGGTTCCTTGGGTGAATCTGATATCTTTTATTAGATCAACCCAAATAGTTGGAAAATAATTATTAAATAATAATTGAATAATTGAAAAAATGAATACCAGGATGCACAGAAGTGTCTTAAAACCACCTTTGCTGCCCTTTTTTGTTGTTCAGACATAGATAGCATCCCATGATAGCAAGGGAGCTGCCCGGAGCCCTTCTCAGAGTTAGAGGACAGCTTCCAGCTCAGAGGATCAGTAGTGGTGTACAGACAGATCATATGGGAGAGCAGGTAGCTTGGCTTCTGGAGGCTTAGAAAGAACAGTGCATATCATTTTCCCAAACCAAATCATGCAAAATTAGTAGGGGCAGGAAAACATTTACTGAGAACCTGATCGCACACCCTCAGCTGAAACTACTAGCTGGAATCTACTGCTTCCAGCATGGCTTCCCTGAGCACTTGGACATGAAACATATGCTTGACATTTGCCATCAGCCCCTGGATTCTTAGTACACCTTCATTAGGCTCAAGGCCCTGCTTGGAAAATGCCAACTCTTAGCTTTCACTTATTTTATGACTATAAAAAAAAAAAACCGTGCAGTTTTTCTGTTGCAAAGAACCCTGAAAGCCTACCACAGGCCAGAATGGTTTTGATTCCTATTGGAAATCTCTGGGCTTATCCTGTGAATCCCATGTAGATGTTTGCAAACCTAACCGCACTAATAGGAAGTAAGTTCAAAACTAACAAAGAAGTAATTTTTCATACAGGGTGTAAAGTGTGGAACTCCTTGCCACCAGATGTGGAGGCTGACAGTTTAGGCAGATTCAGAAAGGGATTGGACAAATTCTTGAAGGAAAGGCCCATCGGTAGCTATTGAGCATGAGAGTTAAGGATACAGCCTCTGAATTAGAACTGCTTAGACCTTAAATGCTGGAGGCTGCAAGTGAGAGAGGAACAGTGGAAAAGCCCTGGTCAGCTCCAGTTCACTCTCCCTTTCAGCATCCACTCTCTGCCACTATATGACACAGGAGACTGAGCAATGGACACGTGGGTGGATCTAGAATTTTGAAAAGTGGGGTGCCGGTGGTGAGGTGCATCATCCCCCCCCCTATTTATCCACCAACATATAAAATATATTTTTCTCCAATTAAGAACAAACTAGAATCTTTAGTAATTGCTAGGTGCCTAGGACTGTATTTAGGATTGAAATAAAAACAAATATAACCGAATGGGAATGAGTTAAAAACAATCTGCACGGCTCTAAAATAGGAGATGCATTACCACACTTGTGGAATGAAGAGTTTTGAAGGGATTGGTTGATTATAACAAGCCATGAATTTAAGTGACTGGCTTGGCACTGCCTGAGTAGAAACTCTGCTGCCACTGCCAGGCTGCTGGCTTTAAACTTTTGGTGGGGCAGGAATCAAGTGCACCCCACCTGGATGAACCTGTGTGCACGAAAATACTGGTCTGACAGTGAACAGCAGTTCTTACGTTCTTACTATTTTTTGGCATCCCCTGGTGCCTTAAAAGGCTCTCAAGGCCTCACCTGGGTTCAAAATCACTGCCCCCCATGACTTGAAAAAGATGTGCTACAGCCAGCACCTGATAAAGTGAACTTGGCTTCAGGAAAGCTTGTGTTCTCTCTAAATCTTATTAGTTAGTCTATAAAGGTGCGCATCTCCCCTGCCTGGTCCTGCTGTGCAAGGTGTGGTCCCCATGGGGTCTGGTCACCTTTAATGTGAGAACTGCCATGGACTGGGTCAGACCGCAGGTCCTTATCTTGCCCAGTCATGGACTCTCCTGTCCCTTTTGTGAGCAACGGGAGACCCTGGTGCATGCCAACCTGGAGCGTGCCAGGCTGGAGCTCCTTCATCGCCTCCTCCAGAGCCTCCTGCTGAGGTGCTGGCTTCATGACTCCCCCCACCTTTTTGTTTTTGCACTCCTCATCCACGGCCCCTCCAAGTCCTGGGACCTCCTGGTCAACCTCCTCCAGGCCCTGGCCGAGCTAGTGATCTCCCTGACCTGGAAGGAGGCTCCGGCCACGAGGACCCCTGGAGACCCCTGTTTTCCTGTCCCTGGTCCACTCACATCTCCAGGCAGCGTCCACTGGCTCCCTTGACTTATTCAGGGAGCTGGTGTGCTCTGCTGTGTGTCCCCCTTGTCATTAATCCATGACTTCACTCCCGTTCCCCTTTTCTTTCTTAATTGTCCCAAAGCAATCAGCTGACGTGTCCCCGCAACGGGCCAAAGCTCATCACCCCATGGCTCTTCAGGCAGCCCTGTGTTACGGCGGCAGAGAGCAGAGGCTGAAAGGGAAAGTGAACTGGGGCTGACTTGGGTCCCCCCACCTACCTCCCCCCCGCAACTCCTCCTCTCTCCCTTGCAGCCTTTCAGGGCTAGGAAACTGCAAGGCAGAGTGTGCCTCTTTCCTCCAAAAATGTGTGCCAGGGGGGACCCATGGGGTGGGAAGGGAGAGAAAAAAGTGAGATGTGCCCCTCAGGGGTGAGTATGTGTGTGGGGGGACCCATGGGGTAGAAATGGAGGGAAGGAAGTGGGAGATGCGCCCTTCAGGGTTGCTGAGGTGTGTTTGTGTGTGGGGGGAGAGAAATAAATGGGAGACGTACCCCTCAGGGGTGTGTATGTGTGCAGGGAGAACCCATGGGGCGAGAGGGGAGGGGCAGAAGTGGGAGACGTGCCCCTCAGGGGGGTGTGTGGGGGGAGGAAACCATGGGGTGGAAAGGGAGAGAAATTAGGTGGGAGACATGCCCATAACTCTTGCATATGTGTGTGTGGGGGACCCATAGGGTAGGACGGGAGGGACAGAAGTGGGAGATGTGCCCCTCAGGGGTGTGTTTGTGTGTGTGTGTGGGGAACGCCTAGGATGCAAAGAGAGGTGCAGAAGTGGGAGACATGCCCCTCAGTGTGCTGAGGTGTGTTTGTGTGTGTGTGGGGAACCTGTTGGGTGCAAAGGGAGGCGCAGAAGTGGGAGACGTGCCCGTGCGGGGTGCGTGTGTGTGCGTCCGTGCGCGCGCGGGGGAGCCCGTGGGGTGCAAGGGGGCGGG